TTCTCAACAAATAATAAATACAAGTGCAATCAATTAATCAAGTCCTTCAGATATAAATCTTTCACCTATAAATCCTTCAAGTAATAATCTATAAGATAATATGTTTTTCAATAAATATATTTCGAATATATTTCCTTCAAATAAATATCTTTCAGATAAGCATCTTTCGAATATAATTCTTTCGAGTAAAGGTCACCTTGTGATACCTCATTTCATAATCATAAATAATATAGGTCTCAGTCCATTTTCATATTTTCACGGCACCTCGTGCCCATATTTATGTCACAACCGCATGGACAACTCACGTGCCATTAAATAAAATCATAATATTTTGCCCGGCACCTTGTACCCACATATTTCTATCTCACATTGCACAACAATATTCTCATGTTAGTCAGTTCATAGGTTCCATAACCCAATACAATTAAGAATGTTCAAGGAGCCTCATTTACTTGACAAAAAGTAGAGTACAACTTCCAACCCAATTAGGAAATCAACAAGAAAAAATGAAGTTATTTTTAGAAATCATTTGATAAAGAAAATACCATTTTCAATTAAAGTACAATATCGAAGGAATCATTACCTTTAATACGAGAAATTAATAAATCAAAACATAGTAGAAATTCCTTTTTAAGTAAAGTACAACCTCAAATGGTTTAAGGAAACTTTAGTTGAGAAATCAATTGAGTTAAAAATGTAACAATTCTTGAAATTTGAAGTATTGGACATATTAAAAAAAATAAGGCGAGGTATTGTAAACACTATGGATTCCAACACAAAGGATCACAACAGTAAAGGGATCTAAACAGTTAATACACTTGAATTGTTAATAATAAGTAAACACGGCAAACGGAAAGTACACGGCATCACTCTTCGTGCTTTAACACTCTCTCACCAAAACAATACACGACATCACCCTTCGTGCTTTACACTCTTCCTCACCCAAGCAACAAACACAAGGCAAATAGGGTAAGACAATCTATAACATCGAAATAAAATCAAGTAATAACGGAAAATCAGTAAATAAACGTATAGGACAACATAACTCAGTTAGAATCAGGAACAATAAAGGACAAGTGCACGGCATCACCCTTTGTGCTTTTACTCTCGTCCTCACCATAAGAATCAATATAAACTGCACGGCATTACCCTTCGTGCTTTACACTCCTCCTCACCATAAAATCAATATAATCGACACGGAATTGTACATCGTGCGGCACGACATCACCATTCGTGCTTTACACTCTTCCTCACAAAATCATACACGGCATCACCCTTCGTACTTTAACACTCTTCCTCACCCAAACAACAATCATAAGAAATAAGGGCACGGAAATAAATGAAATCATAATAAAATCCCTGTAAGGGAACAATAGTACAATAATCAAACCCCGACAAGGGAAACAACATCAAAACAATAACATCCCGGTAAGGGAAACAACATCAAAACAATAATACTTCCACAAGTCATATTCCTCAATAGAAATTATCATATAGAGCATATACATAATACTCACGGGCATGCTTGACACCAACGTATAAATACTCGTCACCATGCCTATACGTCGTACTCAACAAATAATACATAACAGTTAGGACACAACTCCTAACCCTCAAGCTAAGGTTAGACCAAACACTTACCTCGCTTTGCAACCAATTCAAAATTCCAACAAGCCTTTGCCTCGCTAATTCATGCCCGAAATTCTCAAATCTAGTCATAAACAATTCGATTCAGTCAATAAAAATTATAGGAATTAATTCCATATGAAATTCTACATTTTCCATTAAAAATCCGAAATTGCACTAAAAATTCGCCCGTGGGGCCCACGTCTCGGAACCCGACAAAAATTACGGAATATGAAACCTCATCCAACCACGAGTCTAACCATACCAAAATTACTAAATTTCGATAACGTTTCAACCCTCAAATCCTCAAATCTATCCGAGAGAGTTTTCAAACTCTTCCAACTAAATTCATAGATTTAATACCAAAACTAGTAGTAGAGTCGGGTAATCTAACCAAAATTAAGTTAAGAACACTTAACCCGTTGTTTTATCTAAAAATCTCCCAAAAATCGCCTCTTCCCGAGCTCCAATTTAGAGGTGGGCATTCGGTATTTCGGTTCGGTATTTAAGAATTTTGGTTCGGTATTTCGGTATTCGGTTTATTGATTGTGTATACCAAATACCGTACCAAATTATTTCGGTACGGTTCGGTATTTCTTGTTTTGGTTCGGTACGGTTTCGGTTTAACCAAGACCCATTCAGATTGTTGCATTTCAGTAATTTAACCAAAAAAATTAGAACAATGGGAGTAATATCTGCCCGTAAACGAGTCCATGTAAATTGATTCAAGTGAAAGTAGCTAGCTCTTCAGCTACCACACACCAGAGACAAGTAGACAATGGTTGATAGTTTGACAAACCCTTAAATATTTTGCGTGTCAGTGCCCTTGGGAAAGTGGGTTGAACAATATCATGTCAATAAGCAAGGAATACCATGGCCATGACAATATTATGTATCAAATATTCCAAGAAGCAACAGTATGCACAATTCAAAGGCTCAAAGATGCAACAAATGCAACACCTAAATAGCTCATCTACTGGCTGCATTACCAATTAACAGATGCAGATGCAGCAGTCTTAACCAACAGATGCAGCAGCAGTCTAACCAACAGATGCAGCAGCTTAACAATATCTTTCCAACAGATGCAACAACAGTCTAATGTAACTGCAGCTAAGCAAAAGCAATTCAAAAGGCAACAACACATGCAACAGTAGTATGCACACTTCAAAGGCTCAAAGATGCAACAGATGCAGCACCTAAATAGCTCATCTACTGGCTGCATTACCAATTAACATATGCAGATGCAGCAGTCTTAACCAACAGATGCAGCAACAGTCTAACCAACAGATGCATCAGCTTAACAATATCTTTCCAACAGATGCAGCAGCAGTCTAATGTAACTGCAACTAAGCAAAAGCTAAAAATTCAAAAGGCAACAACACATGCAGCAGTAGTATGCACAATTCAAAGTCTCAAAGAGGCAACAGATGCAACACCTAAATAGCTCATCTACTGGATGCATTACCAATTAACAGACGCAGTCATGCAGATGCAGCAGTCTTAACCAACAGATGCAGCAACTTAACAAAATTAACAATAAAAACAATAAATTATCAAGGTGCAACAGATGCAGGCATGCAGCAGTCTTAACAAAATTAGCACTTATACTTTCTTGATGAAGCAATAGTCTTTGTGCTCTTAGTGCTATCATGTATAAACCAGCCGCCAAGAAAACTGTCAGTACTCAGTAGACCAAAAACTCCAGCAGCTGAGAATAATCCTTGTCCTACTACTAAACAACTTTCCTTTGCTATTTCCCAATTTTTTAGATGTCCAGACTCTACACTTAGCCCTATTAGTAACAATATCTCCGCAACAGCAAA